TCTGCAATCTGCATTTAGTACAATCGGTCATACTACAGCGAAACCATCTCGATCCACATTGGTGTTAAGCCGAAGAACAGCAACGCAACGCTCGAGTTTCACTGTGGCACCAACGGTAAGTGCCACAGGCTTGTGCCATGGTGCTGCTAAAAATGGGACTATGTCAGTGCAATACACCAGCGAAGCACCACCCTTACCTCGTTTACCTCCCGGCCATTCACAGAAATCACATTTAGTGCATGTATGTATCCCTCTTCGTCCTATATGAAACGTGGTCTTAAAAGGTGGACTTTGTAACCTTTCACCGAAGGAAATGTTTGTCGTGGTGTCCCTCCAAGCATGTCATGGTACCCGACTAGGTTTCCGACTAGAAAACCGAAAAAGCAATGTTTGCCGTTCCTTTAATAAGAATTTGAATTCGATCCCGCCAGTTATGCATGACGCAGGCAGCTGAAGTTTGTCTCGTGTGAGATTTCGTGTGGCATCCAGTGTTGTAGTCGAGTCCGCACCCCCCGAGTCCGAGTCCGAGTCCAAGTCCGCACCACCCGAGTCCGAGTCAGAGTCTACACCACCCGAGTCCGAGTCTGAGTCCAGTTTTGATTTTTTTTTAAAGGGGGGCACAGACCGACAAGGCCGCTCTCTTCTATGTATGTGTTTGTTCAAAAATGGGGGGTGTGTTCTGCTCCTGGAGCTGTCACTTGTTTGTATTAGGTAGGAGTTTGAGTTTTAAATTCTTGTAAACTGCACGTTTACAATACGTACAGTTATGTACTATGTAGTGGCGTCGGGCCGGCCTCGACTCGAGTCCGGAGGGCTCGAGTCCCCGAGTCCGAGTCCGATTTCGAGTCATTGCACTTCGAGGCCGAGGCCGAGACCAAAGAAACCGGCTTCGAGGCCCGAGACCTGCAACACTGGTAGCATCGGTAAGCGTCGCCATGACGACCCGTGTTTTTTTGCGTGGCTTCGCAGGGTGAAGGAGGATGATCGCGTGAAGAGGCTGCGCTCGGAGGAGCACTCGCCGCCGCGCAAACGAGCGCGCATCGGCGACACTGCGGCGGTGGTGGCGGCGGCCGGAGACTTTGAGCTGATGTCGGAGACGGACTCCCCGGCGCGCGGCTCTGACGGAGAGATACAGGAGACGGAGGAGGTAAGGTCATAATAAACATATTGTTTGTTTGCCCTCACCCGACCGACCCGCCAAAAAGGGGCCGACTCAAAAATGTTTATTGATTTTTCGCATTTTTTTTTTTTTACAAATTGTATCACTGTACCTGATATAAATCTGTAGGCAATACATTATATGTACCAAGCAAAGCAAACGTTCAGCATAAACGGTATCTCCATACAAGCACACCCGAGCATGTAGACACCATGCTGAATTTGTAAAAAGACCCCCCTCAAAAAAAGAAGAAGCCTACCTACCTACCCAAACTTCAGCCTGGGTCGGGTGAAGGCAAACAAATATTTTTTTAATTGTGGCCTGAGCGCTGGCGTGGCAGGGTAGCATGTGTAGCAATGCATCGATGGCAAAGTAAACGATCGATCACTCTCGCCAATAGTTTTTGGTAATATACGATATACGATGCTTGATGGTTTTTGATAACAGCAACATTAAAACCCTGACTTGGTTTATTTATTGTTAAAGATACGTTTTTGCACGTAAGTATGTGTGACCATTACCAATATTTCCTACATTGCTGTAAATAATTGCACTGGCCCCGGTCATCTGTGCATGGTACACGCTACCAGCAGTTCAGTCCCTATGCACGAGTAAGGCACCAGTCTAGTAGATAATGTGAACCAAAACAAGGCTTGTTGCACTACACAATATAAAACACAATTTGATATCAATAACATAATAATATAATAATATCAAATACATCAGTAGCATCGCAAGAGTTTTGCAATTGGTGTAATCGTGTCGACAATGGTTGTTACGGCGTACCACCTTCATAATCGTTCCGGTTCGCATTTTATATGTTACCCCATGTGCGCTCCGGTTTTCCCGATTCGCCTTTTTGATGTAACCAGGCTAGTGGAAAACGTCAACAATGTCAAACACGATTGAAAAATAATAAGAACTTTTATTCAAGTTTACGGAGTTTAATTCTTTCAATGTGGACATTATTTGTATTTCGCAACAATGGTATCGTAAATACTACTCCTACTAGCGCAATACCATCGCAGTAGCGTGCTTGCTCGTTGTCACTGGGTGTCACATTGGCTTGCACGTTGTCACAGGGTGTCACGTTGGCTTGCACATTGTCACGCGGTGTGTCGTTGTCTTGCAGCCGGCCGTAGCGTTTGAGGAGATCCTCTCGGACGAGGACATGCCGATGGATGAAGCGGACATGTTGGAACTGGACGCTCTGGACACCGACTACGACATCGACGACGAATGGTCCATCGGTCTCGAGCCGTTCAACCCCTACCACTGCGAGCTGACCGCACCACAGGTAATGCTGACCGCACCGCAGGTAATGCGGACCACACCGCAGGTAATACGCTAACCCCCCTGCAGGTATGTGTAGACGTTGCCTCACCATCGGTGCTGTACCAAGGGCGGAGGCATGGAAGGCGGCAGGCGACAAGTGGTTTCATTTACTTATAGTTTTGTCAGTAAGTCTATACCAGCAGTAAGCCAGTAAATATAGGAGTAAAGTTTGCTCCTCCGGCATCATAGATTGATTGATCATCTGACTTGAAGTTATTAAATTTTAATTCTTTTACCATCTCCCACTTTTTTCATTTGCATCACTTGTCATAATCGGGGTGTATGTGACATTTATAGAGTTGTAGAAGATTGTTTGTGTTTAGTGTAAGGCCTTATGTTGCATCAGGGGACCAAGAGGATAAGTAAGTAAGTAAGTAAGTGTTTGCCGTGGTTGTTGTCAGACACTTGACGTGACGTATTCTCTGCGCGTTTGCCTTCTGCGTTCTTAGTCTCGTCGATCCGTCGCTGTCGCGCTATGAAGTGGAGAAGCGAAGGCAGCGTCCGCACGGCTTCGTTCACTCCGAGGAAGCCAGCAAGCTCAAGGACATCCTCAAGGTCTTTGGAACGGCGGAACACACCGAGAAGTACGTTCGCGCGCGCGCGCGACGCGAAACTCACGGGAATTGTCGAATGTTTGCGGTGAAAATACTCGGTCTACGCGGGAAAGCATATACGCAGTTGAACCTGTGTAGAAGGGTCACGTCCAGAAGTGGCTGTAATAGAAAGGTGACTGTTTTACAGAGGTGGTTTCACTGTATATAAGGGTCACTTAAACGAAGCCCCGAAACTGCCTCGTCATTATGTCGTTGATGTTAACGAGCTCATTAACTAGGCTGGTTTAATTACATGAGCTGATTTAGTCGTTGGCACGGATGGGTCGAGGCAATGGAGAGCATCCCAGGCATCCTCACACCTGCACTCGTCTCCCTGGAAGCTGAGGATCTTCTCACAGGTATGCTCGTCGCTCTAACGAGCAGGTGACTGCATTCGCGCAGATGTCACGATAGCCTCCATCAGTCACCTACGATTAGGCTAAGAAAAGTTTAAATTATGACCCATAATTATGACTTATAATTATTATATATAATTATAACTGTATCAATGATCGACCCTTTCATAATTTCAGACTTATAATTATGATATATAATTATGACATATAATTATGACTTATAATTATGACCTATAATTATGACCTATAATTATGATATATAATTATGGGACCTGTGATTATATCTATAAATTCATGACCTATAAAATTATGACCAAACGTCACTACACTACAGTCTGCATATCCCTTTCATGACTTTTTAGACCGCGATTTGAATCATGTGGGCTGAAGAAGATTTCTGAGAATGGACCCTGCATCGTTTCAGACGTACTGAGCACGCTCATCGACTGGACATTCGAGGGACTGGACTTTGAGAAGGCGATCGCCCAGCCGTCGGCCGTCCACAAAGTACGACACATGAAGTGCGGAGTCAAGATGGCCGAGGCACTGTGCGCGACATGTGGAGCCATCTGTAAACGCATGCTGGTAAGATTGTAGTTACCGATGTGATTTGTCTTGGTCGGATAGTCTGGGAATATCGTCGGTGGACAAGCGCAGTTGATTAGTACGGTTTGAAATATAATTTTAAGGAAAAATAATTAAGAATTGTATATACAATATAGTTTAATGAGTTATATCATGATTCTCTCATATATATATATATATAATATATATATTGTATAGATATATATATACAAAGTTATAATAATTATATATATAATTTTCTATTAGTATACAGTTATATATATATTATATAAGTTTGGTGGAAGGAACTAATAACTCGATAATCAAGAGAATGAGACAAAGTGACAACAAGGGCGATCTCCGCGTAACGATACAAACGTTTTCTTATTACGAACTGCGCCAGAAATGTGCCATAGTCTTACTAATTCTCTCCTCCGCCGATTCATTTAATTTGTCGCAGGAAGAATGAATAACCGCTCTTAGCTTTCGAACCCCTGCATGCACCGCCACCGTATCTACTGGCAGACCATGTGTCTCGCTGTGTCTCACGGCCGCGTCTTCGTACAGGAGTGCCAAAAGGCAGGTCAAGGGCGACTGCGGACCTCTCCATGAGCCCGGAGTACATTAGTCTCGCCCTGTGAGTGTCTGTTCCTTCGTGTCTACGGTCTCACGGATGTCTCATGCGTCTCGGTCTCGTACAGGATCGCGGGGTCGTGGAGCGTCTGCTGGACCTCTACCACGAGGAGTACATGTCTCTCCCCGGTGATGAAGCTGAGCCTCATCGTCTCGCCCTCGATGAGCTCACGCAGCTGGGGCTCGGTCTCGACTCATTCCTCGGCTACGAGACCGCCTCGACTGAGACCGCCTCGACCGAGACCGCCTCGGCTGAGACCGGATACCAGAGGGTGCTGCAGATGCTGTTCACGACAAAGGTGTGTACGCGAGCTGTCGGGTCGCGGGTGGTTCCGCCCTAGTGCAGTCAAGACCGTGTATACATACAGGGTCGCTCAAACCTGTATATAAGGGTCGCTCAAACCTGTATATAAGGGTCGCTCAATACCTGTATATAAGGGTCGCTCAAACCTGTATATAAGGGTCGCTCAAACCTGTATATAAGGGTCGCTCAAACCATTATAATAATGAGGTACGCTCAAACATAGTATATAAGGGTCCGACTCATACCTGATATATTATGGCGTCGCTGCAAACCTGTTTATACAAGGTCGGCTCGCCTCAAACCTGGTACTATAGAGGGTTGCGCATCAAACCGTGTATATAAGGGTCGCTCAAACGCTGTATAGGAAGGATCGGCTCAAAAACCCTGTATATACAGGGTCGCGTGAACCTGATAGTATAAGGGTTGCTCAAACCTAGATATATTAAGGCGCCTCCGCTCAAACCTGGGTATATTAAGGGAGGGGATCGGTAGATCGCTCAAAACCTTATAGTATAAAGGGGTCGCCTCAAACTGTATATATATAGTGGGTCGCTCAAATCTGTTTATATACAGTGGCGCATCGCTCAAACCTGTAATAAGAAGTTCGCTCTTGCACTCAAACCATAAGTATATAAGGGTCGCTTCAAACCTAGTATATAGGGGATCAGCCTCAATACCATGTTATAAGGTCGCTCAAACCATGTTATATAAGGGTCGCTTCAAAACTGTATATAAGGGGTGGTCTCAACACACTGTATATATGGGCTTGTCAAAATCATTGTATATAAGGGGTCGGCTCAAACCTTGTATATTGAAGGGAATACGTACTTCAAACCTGTATATATGGGTCGCTCAAACCTGTATATAAGGGTCGCTCAAACCTGTATATAAGGGTCGCTCAAAAACCTTTTATTTATAAGGGCCGTCGCATCACCCGGGTACTATAAGCGGGGTCGGTTCAAACCTGTAATATCATAGGGTCGCTCAAACCTGTATTATAAGCGTTGTTCGCTCTAAACCTGTCTATTCAAGTGGAGTGCTCAAACCTGTAGATTAAGTGAGTCGCTCAAATATAGTATTATAAGGGGACACTCTTGTCGCTTCAAACCTGTACTATATGGGTCGTTCAAGGAAAGCACCAAAGGTGTGTACGCGAGCTGTCGGGTCGGTGGGTTACTAGTGCGTCAAACCTGTATATAAGAGTTGCTATTAGGTATATAAGGTATACCTGTACGTAAGTCGTTATTAGGTATATAAGGTATACCTGTACATAAGTCGTTATAAGGTATATAAGGTATACCTGTACGTAAGAGTTGTTATTAGGTATATAAGGTATACCTGTATTACAAGGGTCGTTCAAGGGAAGTGCCAAGTACCTTATATCATCAGTCGCTCGCTCAGCGGTTACTATAGGGTTGAGTTTGTTCTATAGAAGGGATTTACTGTGTAAATTACTCCACAGGGAAATGCCAAAAGAGTCTATCATTAAAAATCTATAATATATATAATAGAATTAAATATAATAAAATGTATATATTTGATTTAACTAATTATCATTATCGTTAGGATTCCTCGTGATTTACTAGGGCTTAAGCGACTATGCTCATAGCAACCAGCAATAGCTGTGTGAAAGGTGGGCGTGATATCTCGAGAGAGCAATGACCTATGCATGACCTACATGCATGACCTATGCATGACCTACATGCATGACCTCTGTGTGTCCTCTACAGGCAACAAGGCTGAAGGTGGCGCTGATGGCATTGGTGCAGAAGTGCCATTTCTACGAGGTGCTTGTTAGACTGGAGAAAACCGTGAACCAGTGAGTAGGCGTAATACTAATATAGTGTCCGCATGAACTGCTGGCCAACAATCTGCTGTTCCTACACAAACTCATTACTTAGAATTCACTCGTTTTGCGAGGCCACGTGTATTAGAGACAAAATAAAATAATAGTATCAAAGTTACTTATTATTATAATTATTTATTCATATTTACTTACTTTATTATAATATATTATAATTGTTTATTCATATTTACTTACTTTATTATTATGATTTTGTATTTTTACATGTTTATAATTTACATGTGTTATATATTTACTGTTATATAAGTTTATAAGTTATTGTTTACAAGTATATTAACAGTTACTATTAATACATAATCGTGATATTTGGAGGTGATGTTCTATAGATAGATGGCACTGTCTTAATACACAGGTTCACCTCTCTTCGTAGTTCGGTAGAGGCCTCTCTGCGCAGGGAGAGAAGCCAGGCGGTTGCTATGGAGACGGATGCGGAGGATGCTGCTAGGACGATGAGCGAGGCGGATGCTGACACTGTCATCACCTGCATGGATGAGATTGCCGGCATGCTCGTGCAGGCACCGCACGTCATCGTAAGCCACGCCCCCTCGCCACGGCCGAGCGTAACCACGGCAACCGCTACCCACGTTGTCCGTTGCGTAGGGCGTGTTTGTTTGGGGGACGACTCACTTCTAACAGATCGTGTTTCGCTGTGACCGATCACAGGATGGTTCATAATAAACAACAAGCTGTGATCGGCTGGGTCACACGCTGCCATATTGGATCCCATTCGAATCCACCTCGCCAGCAGGTTTAACAATTCATGATTCGGTTCACTAATCTACCAAACAAATGTGCAGGATCACTGGATCCGTGTGATCATGATCATATGATCCAGCCATTCAAACACACTTGTGGACTCCGTAGCAGGGTAAAAAATACACGGGAGCGATGAGCGATTCGCTCTTCAAACCTCCGAAATCGCTCCCGTCAGGCTCAAAATAGCTCCTGTAAAAAAATTTTACTAGAGCTATTTTTTCCACAGACTTGAAAAAGAGCTCCTGTAAAAAATTTTACTAGAGCTATTTTTCCCACAGACTTGAAAAAGAGCTCTCGTGAAAAAAAAGTTATTTTCCCCTGCTCCGTAGTGTAGGGTCGTTAACGGAGGCGTAATCCGAATTCCGGATTACCGGTTACATCCGGGAATGGGAAGTAGGGAGGGGATAGGATCATACACGCAACCACGTAGCGTCAGTTAGTCGTAGTTACATGTCAGATAGACCGATGCACTGACGTTACAAGCGTAGCGCGATCTATGTGCTGCGGTTGGGAAGGCATGACGTTACAAGCCCAATGTGTTGCGGTTGGGACGACCGATGTTGCAATGTGTTGCATCGAGTAACGACAGCGTTGTTGTTGTGTTGACATTACAAGCCTATCGCGATCCATGTGCTGCGGTTGGGACGACCGATGTTGCAATGTGTTACATCGAGTAACGACAGCGTTGTTGATGTGTTGCAGGCGCAGTGCCGGCGCTCTCTGCCGGCCAAGGTGATGTTCGAGGCACCGCCGCCGTCGCACGACCCCTACCCCGGCCTGTTCTCCCTGCTGAAGGCGAGGTAGGAAGCTCACACACACGTAGACACTAGGGGTGTGACGATTAAGATTCAAATGTACAATTCGGTTTTCGGTTGTTTTTTTTCGCTTCGGTTCTCGGTTCGGTTCCGGGAAATACATTCAAATTGGTCAGGTAGATCACTTTAATGAATACTATTATGACTATTATCCTTGAACTATATTACTTTATTGTCTTTTGGCCAATGAATAACACAATAAATGTATAATATTATGATAGGTATTAGTATTAGCTCATCTGACGTAGTCAGATGCAGCTTGTAGAATCACGTGAGCGTGCGTCCGTGCGTCCGTGCGTCCGTCCGTTCGTCAACAGTTGGGCACAAATCTTAACCGCTCGACGTACGGTCACGATATTCGGGACGTCGGGTGGGATCGTGAAAAGGACTCGGGATGACCAATTTGGGGGGTCAAGGGTCAAAGGTCAAGATGTGTAAACGGAGGGGGGAATATTTCTCCCTTAACTTAAGGTATAGGAGGAAATACGGAATTGCGGTACAAATCTTAACGGCTTGACCTATGCTATTAATATTTGGTGTATAGTGTGATGGGCAGGAAACCCATCACCAGTGCGAAATTGGAGTTGACAGGTCAAAGGGCAGTGGGGCCCCCCCCCCAGCGTACGGTTTGTACGCTTGTGAAAATGTTGATAATTGTGAACGACCCCTTACCAGCATGTGTTGAACAAGGTCTGCTTGCTACATACGTGCGTGCGTGCGATCACACGTGAGTGTTGTCTCTCTTACCTGCAGGCGCGCGCTACGCTGTGTGCTCGTCGCGCTGACGAGCGTGTGCGGGGCGTCGCACGCGCGCTTGTTTTCCGCCGCGCATGAGCTGCTGGTGCAGCTGACAGCGTCACAGCGAGGATGCCTCGCGATGCTGTGTGAGCCGGCGGTCGCTAACGCTCTCGTTCGCACGCTGCTGCAGACTGCCAGCGTAAGTACTAAATTTTAGTTTACGTTTAAGAGTTTTGATTTTATTATTATTATTATTATTATTTTTATTATTATTATTATTATTATTTTTATTAAATCTTTATTACATGTAATTCAGATACAAATACATGTACTGATGACAGTTTTTTCCCCATGGAGAAAAAATCTGATAACAGCAATAGTGTTGAGTAGTTAAAATGATAAAATTTCTGGCTGATACAGTACAATACAATGCTATACAACATGAAGAACAAATATATACAAAAAAAACTTCAGCGTATTCTGTACTAGTAAACAAGTTCAGGTACAAGTGACTAGTACAATTTCAAAACTGACCGTGCAAATCACGGCTGCACGGCTCGCTGGCTAACACGTTGTCACCAGACCTCTGTTCGTATGCTGGCAGGAGTACAGCAGGGAGGATGCTGAGGAGATGACGTCGCAGCAGCTAGGGCTTCAGCTGGTTCTCCGGCTTCACAGCATCCAGCTGATCGACGAACTACTGAAGATGCACACTGTCGGTGAGTCTGCCGTCGCCATGGCAACGTCGTCTTCTGTCGGTTCTTCCACGCGCGCGCGTGTGTGTGTGCGTCGCTGCTTGCCTGCATGACTGATCAATTATTATTATTGTTATTGTTATTATTATTATTATTATATTATCATTATTATTATTGATAGTGATAATAAAAATATAATAAGATATTCAGAAAATTAAAAATTAAAGCATTTTCGACCCCCTGGTGCTTTACCATATTTGGTTATCGGGCATATTTCATCACCTCATTAGTACAGCACTAATTGGCAACTATGCACTCAAACTCCACGAAAGATGGCGCTCTCGCTCTGGCTCAATTCACCACTGCCACAAGTGAGAATTTCTAACGCTTTTTTACCACAAGTTTTACAGCGGCTAGGTTACTGGTATCCTATGTAATAAGATTTGTACTAATAAAACTTGCAAATATATTAAAAATCCAACCATTATTTCATGAAAAATTTGATGAAATAGTGATAAGAAATAGTGCGCGGGTTGTGCGCCCATTCACTCGCGTTACCTCTTTCAAATCATTCGCTGTTTACGAATCGCCATTCGCTGGATTTTCCAGGAGCTCCGCCCACTTTAAAAATAGTGCTAGCCTTGCGGCAGTGGTATCCTGTACGAAGGGGGCACTGCTTGCAGTTTGGGTGATACTCCGTTAGGAGTGTTTCCAACTTTAATGTCATTAATGATATCAGAGTTGGGAACGCTCTTAATGGAGCGTTGGCCTGCAGTTTGCTATGCGCTAACCGTCGCTCAGACCACTGTGATGCTTCCTCAGGCGGAGGGGGAGCAGCGAGGGACCTCGACTCTCACGAAGCACTCGACTGCATCAAGGTGCTCTACAGTCTGACGTACACGCCACTAGGGCGCGCCGCCGTCGTGCTGAGTCTGTCTCAGGGTTTGAACCTCCAAGCACTGATCCCATTCATCGACACGGCAGGTTAGGCCATAATAAAAATATTGTTTGTTCGCCCTCACCCGACCGACCCGCCAAAAAGGGGCCGACTCCAAAAATTTTTATTGATCGTTCCCATTCTTTTTTTTTACAAATTGTATTACTGTACATTATATAAATCTGTAGGCAATACATTATATGTACCAAGCAAAACAAACATTCAACATAAAAAGGTATCTCCGCACAAGCACACCCGAGCATGTAGACACCATGCTGAATTTGTAAGAAGATCCCACCTCAAAAAAATAAAATAAAAAGCCTACCCACCTACCCAAACGTTTCAGCCTGGGTTGGGTGAGGGCAAACAAATATTTTTTTAATTGTGGCCTTAGTGAGACACAGGGAAACGCGGGCCATGGGGAGTGGAGAGTGTCTCTCTCACGCGAGCAAATAATATCACGTTTAAACGCGGGGCGATGACGTGGGGAGTGTGTGTCTTGGATGAGCAAATAATAGTTAGATCAACGGTAGGTTAGCATGGCGCGGGAAAACGTGGGGCGTGGCGAGTGTCTCTCACGCAAGCAAATAATATTGCGTTTAGATGTAGTTAGATCAACGGTAGGTTAGCATGGCGCGGGAAAACGTGGGGCGTGGCGAGTGTCTCTCACGCAAGCAAATAATATTGCGTTTAGATGTAGTTAGATCAACGGTAGGTTAGCATGGCGCAGGAAAACGTGGGGCGTGGCGAGTGTCTCTCACGCAAGCAAATAATATTGCGTTTAGATGTAGTTAGATGAACGGTAGGTTAGCATGGCGCGAGTAAACGTGGGGCGTGGGGAGTGTCTCTCTCACGCAAGCAAATAATATTGCGTTTAAGTGTAGTTAGATCAACGGTCGGTTAGCACGGCGCGGGAAAACGTGGGGCGATGACGTGGGCAGTGTCTCTGTCTTGGACGAGCAAATAATCTCGCGTTTAGATGTAGTTGGATCACTAAGTTCGCCCATCCATCTGTGCAAGATAACCAACGGCCACCGAATCACTCTAGCCAAACCAAACGATTTCCTAGTGCCGAACAATCAACTTAAGAACAACAATCAACATAATAACAAACAACACAACACAATAACAAACACATAAACAACACAACGCAATAACAAACACATAAACAACACGACAACAATAACAAACACATAAGCAACACGACAGCAATAACAAACAACTTTAGAACAACATCTGACTGACACCCTCTCCTGTTTGTATCTTACGAAACCATCCCTATCGCAGTCCTACTGGGAACACTGCCACGTGGCGTTACCACGGTTTACCGCTGAGACGTTCATTTGTTTGTTGTTCTGCAGACGACAGCGAGGCGGCGATCGTGGTGAGGAAGTCGGCGTGTGCGGGGTACGCGTCGAGCCTCATTATGATGATGGTCAGATACTCTGAGGACATCTCCTACCTAGAGACATTCGGAAGGAAGCTGCACAACCTGTGTGAGCAGGGTAAGTTTCCTCGTCTGTCTACCATCTGTCTATCATCTCTGTCGTCTGTCTGCCGTCTGTCTACCATATTTTTATGGTCTGTCTACCATCTGTCTATCATCTCTCTGTGGTCTGTCGTTCACAGATGCCTTCACTAAGGCGGAC